GATTCATTTTATATTCTCTGTCTACTACACATTTTTTTAAGGATTTATTTATTTATGGGCCCTCCCTGGTGGCACGACGGGTTAGGACACAGCATTGCAAGCTGGCCACAGCTGCTTCAGTGCGAGTTCGATCCCCGCCAGGGAGGTGACCCACATGGTGAGGCAGACCTCCCCTGACCCGCCTGCTGCTCCCCTCAGCAGTGGACTTCGTTAGTCAGCCTGTTCTGCTCCCCACTCTGTCTCTGGTGAAGCCTCTCACCGCCCCTGCCCCTCTGGCCCTCACCCCAGTTCTGTAGATAAATCTTTAAAAAAAAAAAAAAGACTTATTTATTTATGCATACACTAATTGGGGTACAGGCCAGAGGGGCAGGGACGGTGAAAGGATTCATCAGACACAGAGTGGGGAGCAGAACAAACAGATCAATGAAGGACACTACTGAGGGGAGCAGCGGGCGGGTCAGGAGAGGTCTGTGGCACCATGTGGGTCAGCTCCATGGGTCAGCTCCCTGGCAGGGAACCGAAGCCGCACTCAAGGCGGCTGCAGCGAGCTCACATTGCTGTGTTCTAACCTGTTGCGCCACCAGGGGGGGCCCTACACATTTTTAAAAATTTGCAATAAACAGTCGTTTGTGTCCTATCCATGTGTTAGCTTCTCTAGGTTAGATACCTGTAAGTGAAATTCCTAAAGTTCAAAAATTTTCCTCTACTAGAAATTGTCAAATTTCTCCCCAGGTATTTGGAATAAGGGGTTCAGAAAATGCTACCCCCAAAGATAGCACCTTGGCATACGGAATATTTTTACCTGAAGGAATTTTGAATAATCTGCATGTGCAGGAAGGACTTTGCAAATGACCATCGCCTGAACAAACAGGTCTTGATTCCTGAGTTGCTACACTAAACACATAACCCTTTTCTACCATGTTTTCCTTTACTTTCCATAACCACTTCTCCTGCTTCTCTACCATGTTTTCTACCATGTTTTCCTTTACTTTCCATAACCACTTCTCCTGCTGCTCCCCTCAGCAGTGGACTTCGTTAGTCAGCCTGTTCTGCTCCCCACTCTGTCTCTGGTGAAGCCTCTCACTGCCCCTGCCCCTCTGGCCCTCACCCCAGTTCTGTAGATAAATCTTTAAAAAAAAAAAAAGACTTATTTATTTATGCATACACTAATTGGGGTACAGGCCCATATTTCTGCGAGGGCCTCCCTGGTGGCCTGGGATTGTCTCAGTGCTGTCACTTTACAGCCGGGGTTCCATCTGGGTCTGGGGGTGACCCACAGGGTGCAGCAGACCCCTCCTGTCTCCCCACTGCACCCCTCCGCAGTGGATTTCAGTAGATCCACCTCTTATGATCCCCACTCTGTCTCTGGTGAATCACCACACAGCCCCTGTACCTCTGGCCTGTATCCGTTCTTTTATGCTAAAAAAAAAATTCTGTGAAATAAATTTGAGATTTTCTCTTAAACTTATCTTTCTTTTGCTACAGGGACTCTGCTTTTACATTTGCCTTTTACCAGCTTTCTCATAATCCCAAAATGCCTGTCCTGTGTTTTGATCGCTGGCAATCCAATGGGTGCAAAACAGTATTTTATTATAGTTTAACATTACTACTTTCCTGGGGGTTGTGTGATGGAGCATGCCTTCCTATCTTTATGTGCTACTTAAGTTTGCTTGTCCTTTTCTTACCAATTTATAGTTTTTTCACATTCTATTACTAAATTTTTATTATCTATGTAACAAAAATTATTTTAAATTTGTAGAGATCCTTTATTTTTAAAGACTTATTTATTTATGCATACAAGAACTAGGGTACAGGCCTGAGGTGTGGGGGCAGTGTGTTTGAGAGGATTCACTGGAGACAGAGCGGGGAGCAGAACAGGCAGATTGACAAAGTTCACTGCTGAGGGGAGCAGCGGGCGGTCAGGAGAGGTCTGCCTCGCCATGTGAGTCACCTCCCCAGCTGGGAGTCGAACTCATGCCACGGTGGCTACAGATCACTTTATAGTACTGCGCTTTAACCTATTGTGTCACCAGGGAGGGCCCTGTTCATAGAGATTCTTGCACCCAAAAGTTTTAAAGTGTAATGTGGTCAATTCTGCTAAATTTCCCTTGCAGACTGTGCTTTTCGGGGCTCTTCCTGGTGGTGCAGTGGGTTAAAGCCCAGCTCTACTGTTACAGAACAAGGAGAGGGGCACCCCAGGAACCTCAAGCCTGCCCATTCTAAATAGTTTCTGCCATCTGCCACATCAAGACCAAACATATAAGACATTTAATGGACAGAAATTTTAATACAGTGAGTGTGCAATACAGAAAAGACAAAGAATATAGTTTCTAAATCAAACAGCCAAAGGTATCCATCCCCTCGTGGGTAAGAGTTCACCCAAGTGGGATTGGCCCAGAGCCAGGCCTGAAAGCTGCCGCAGTCTAATGCACCTCCTGGCGGGGACCCATAGAAAGGAGTCAGAAATGGCGAGACAAGTCCAGGAGGAAGAGAGCAAAATCAAAATCAAGATAAACGCTGCCATAGTCACCTCCCCACAGGCCTCTCACCCACATCTGTGTCACCCAGTCTAAGACTAAGAAACAAGAGCTGCTTCTTCACATGTCTCTCTGTTCCAAGTGTTACCCTCAGGTCACCTTATGGTTCCCCATCTTGCTTCCTTCCTTCCCCAATCTCCTCTTCAGCTTCTCCTCCCTGCTCAGGTCCACCCTCCTTTTGAGTGGGGCAGGGAACCTGGAACCTCCCGTTTTCCTGGGGACCCTCTGTTACACTCTGAAGCTCTCTGCAGCCACTGCAGCAGGAGTTCTATCCCCGGCCAGGGAGGGACCCCCAGGGCGCAGCAGAACTTCCTGTTTCCCCACTGCTCTCCTCAGCAGTGTAGATCTGCCTGTTCTGCTCCCCACTCTGTCTCTGGTGAATCCTCTCACTGCCCCTGCACCTCTGGCCTGTACCCCAGTTCTGTATTCATCTTTTTTAAAAAATGACACTAAGTTCTTACTCCTGATATTAATAATAATTAATTTTTATCAAACGTTTTGTTTACACAGATAAGCTTTATTTAAAATAATATTCCTCTCCCTTTAGTCTTAGTTAAATTAACCTATTTGCCTACCTTGAAACATCCTGGCCTCCCAAAGCTAAATCCCAAGTCAGAGTTCCTCACTTCACTACTGTACTGCTAATACAGTTTGCCCAGAGTGCTAGTATTCTACTTGAATCCTGCATCCTAATTCTTAAATAGCAAAGGTTTTTGTTTTGAGTTGTCCAATAATTTTCTTTAAAAAATCTGGCTAGTCTTTTAAAATCAATCAGGTAAAAATATACAGTGAGGTGGCCCTCCCTGGTGGCGCAGCGGTTTAAAGCACAGCACTGAGAATCTAAAGCTGCTTCCGCATGAGTTCGATTCCCGCCTGCCCCGGAGGAGACCACATGGCCTCTCCTGACCGGCCTGCTGCTCCCCTCAGCAGTGTACTTCGTCGATCTGCCTGTTCTGTTCCCCACTCTGTCTCTGGTGAAGCCTCTCACCGTCCCTGAGCCTCTAGCCTGTACCCTAGTTCTGTATGCACAAATAAATAAATCTTTAAAAAAAAAAAAATATATATATATATATATACACAGTGAGGTACCTAATTTAAAACATGTAGGCAAAAAGATTCCTTCTAGGCCCTCCCTGGTGGCGCAGTGGTTTAAAGCACAGCACTGAGAAGCTAAAGCCACTTCTGCATGAGTTCGATTCCCGCCTGTACCCGAGGTGACTACATGGTGTGGCAGACCTCTCCTGACCCGCCCACTGCTCCCCTCAGCAGTGTACTTCGTAGATCTGCCTGTTCTGCTCCCCGCTCTGTCTCTGGTAAAGCCTCTCGCCACCCCTGAGCCTCTGGCCTGTACCCCAGTTCTGTATGAACAAATAAATCTTTAAAAAAAAAAAATTAAAAAAAAAAAGATTCCTTCTATTATTTCTCTTTTCCAGTGTGGAGCTTCCTGAAGCTAGGACCATGACCGCCCGTCTCCAATTCAAAACAATGTGGGAATAATTCCTAGGATTTTGATCCCATTGGCCCTACTGGTGCTAGTTAGTGGTGGAAAAAGAGTACAAGACAATGATGGTTTAACTCAAAGAAAGTAGGAAAGGGCATTAAGAAACTGAGGACGCAAACCAAGGCCCCGGTTGCCAACCTTTGGATTCACCCCGGTTCTCTTAGCAGTGAGACTAAATGGTCACACCTAAGTTTTAGACGGCCAAGAGAGATGATGGCAAAGAAGGTACGAGTGCATTTCGACCGTAACCAAGGGCGAGGGCACCTGGGGGCTCGAGACGGGTTCTGGTCTCCACCCCACTCCCACGCCTCCTTCCGGCTTAAAAAGGCGACGGTGGTCTCAGGTCCCCCAGAGTGGGCGGCGCCTTAGCCGGTAAGGGACCAGCGCCCCCGGCCCCAGCCCTCAATGAATGGCGTCCGCTCTTTACGGTCCACTGACGCCGGGAGGGGAACGTCCGATCGCGGGACGTCCTGCCAGGGCCCGCGAATTCCGCGGGGCCCGCGCCTACTCCGGGGCTAACTTGGGTCAAAGACCCCGGGTCGTCGCCAGGAGACCACCGCCGCGCGCCCGGGAGACCGGGCCTAGAAACGCTGCCTTCTGCGCAGGCGCAGAGCAGGTGCCCGCTAGAGACCCGGCCCCCGGCCAAGCCACGCCCATCCCGGGCCAAGCCACGCCCATCTCCCCTGGAGTCGCCGTTCGGGATTGGCTCGAAAGTAGCGCGCGCTCTGATTGGCCGAGGCGGAGTCCCCAAGAGCGCGCTGAAGTGCCCGGCGGCGTTCCGCCCGGGCCGCCAGTTTCGGGTGACCGCCGCGGGCACCCGGGTGTTGCCCGGCGCATCTGCGGGGCGTCCCTTCGGGTCCATCGCTGAGAGGCGAGATGGGCGTTGCAGAAGAACTCTGGAGACGGGACTGTGCGGGTGGACTTGGGGCGTGGGGGTGTCCATCCCGCTGTGGGGTGGACAGCGGGGCTGCGAAGGAAGCCGCCGGTGACAGCCGGCGGGCGCGACAGGTGAAGGCGCGGTGGCTGTGGCTGCTGCTTTTGTTTCCCGAATGGAAACAGTTTTTGCTTGGCCCCGTGTGCGTGCAGGGGCACGGTCTTAGTGGGATGCATTTTCACGGACGCAGACACGGTTTCTGTGAAAGCGCGTGAAGGGAGCGGAATGACAGCGCACGGAAGACCTTTCTGGAAGCCTGGCTTTGTCAACCAGAATCAGCCAGCCCGTGTAAACCAAAGGTCACCTTTATCTGAGCTGGTATTCGCTGGTGTGCCTGAAAGATTCTGAGACAAAATAAACTTAGGGTAAGTCCTGACGCGGATTAAGTGCAAATGAACTTGACCCCTGCTAACAGCAGAGGATGTTGAAGGCTTTGGGATGCGGCTGATACTTCTGTTCATTTATTTTAAGCAGGAACAACCAAGGAGAACTGAAGGAAATGATTCTTTCCCCAGAGGTAATAGAAGAGGGGGAAGATGTGATGTCAGAAGGTAAGGACCATGGTAGGGATGAGGTAATTACTTATGTGCCTCCTGTGGCAGAATAATTTGTCAGCAGTCAGAATCCAAAGTAACACAGCTAAACTGTGCCATTTGGTGTCGAAAGTGCTATTGTGAACACTTTCCAGTTAGTTTCATATGCCCACCCTAAGCTTGACCAAAATCTTGCAGTTGTTTCGTGAAAAGAAAGTTACAGGCTGTTCCCTTTGCTGCCCCTCGGCGCAGAAATTCCAAGCAAAATGTTAGTAGATTTAACATTGGGATGTGGAAGAATAGTACATTGTGACTGCAGCTTTCTTGGGGGAGTGCAAAAGTGTTTTGTGTTTGACAAGTGATACCGGTTGTCTGGAAATGCTGGTTAGAAAGAAAATCTCTTCATTCTTAATATTGCTTCCTGAAGTTCCCCACGTTGTACCTGGCAAACCCGTGTTTTCGTATATATTCTTCCCCCAAATATTTAGGTTCCTGCTGTCTTCTGCCCCTGACTGAGAGCCTCTGGAATATTTGGAATATAGGTCATTTTCTTTTGAGTCTAGGGAGAAGGGACCTCCTTGGTGACACAGGGTTAAACTCTCAGTGCTATTTGTCAAGCTGCCGCACAGGCTTGGAGATGGGATTGGCAAAGGGAGTCTTACTGGGGAGCATCAGGTCACCCCCCGGGAGGGGACTAGTGGCACTATGGTCTCCGCTGGCATCAGGCTCAGGGGCAGGCCCAGCCCCCAGGGCGTTTGGGGTGGGCGAAAGGGGCCTTGTCCTCTCAGGCTTGTCTTTGGAGCTGGGGCTGGCCGGAGACAGCCCCGGCGAGGGCCCTGGGGTGGGCAATGGGCCACAGGCTCTCAGCCGCTGTGTCCACCCGCAGTCTCTGTGACAGAACTGGGTGGTGGTGGCGGTGCTGTGGGCCTCCCTGTCACTTCACACCCAGGGACAGTGTCTGCTCGTCTCTCTCACGATGTTAAGATTGATGGTGGGGGCCGCCTGGTGGCACAGGGGTTAAAATCTCTGTGCTGGCAAGCCATTGCCAGCCACTGCAGCCTGACTTTGATGCCTGGCTGGAAGCTGACCCACACGGTCAGCAGAAAAAAAAGAATTGAGATGGGTGAGTCGTCCAGGGTTGATGTCGCCTAAGTGCCGACACCTTTTTTCCTCACAGCCACTGTATTAGCTCCACAGCATCAGCTCCACTTTCAGACGGAAAACAGATTTCGCCATGAACTTACTCATGGTCTCACAACTATTAAGTGTCACCGCCGGGATTATATATGGTTTTGCCAAATCCAGTGCTCCCTTCTCTTTCCTGGCTCATTTCTTCATCCCTAGTCGTTGTTTTAATCAAAAGTAACTTATCCATCTCCGCCTTTTGACTTTGAAACACCGGCCCTGTGTTCATTTGCCAGCCTTTTGTCGTGAGACCAGGCCCGGGACTTTGACTTCACGTCACAGTTGGATTAGCTCATTTATCTGTGTAGTGTGTTTTCTCTAGTTTCAAGTTTTTTCCTCTAAAGCTGAGCAAAACTTTAAACTGACAAGTAGTTGAGATTCAGTCTTACATTTGCACTGTCTTCCCCATCCTTGTTTGGTGACTCACCCACAATATTTGCCACAGTTTCTTTTCTTTTTTTTTTAATTTATTTCTGCATACAGAGCTGGGGTACAGGCCAGAGGTGTGGGGGTGAGAGGACTTACCAGAGACAGAGCAGGGAGCAGAACAGGCCAACTGCGAAGTACACTGCTGAGGGGAGCAGCGGGGAGACAGGAGAGGTCTGCCGCGCCCTGTGGGTCCCTCCTGGCCGGGGATGGACCTCAGCAGCCTCAGGTCACTTCACATTGCTGCACTTTCACGCGTTGTGCCACCAGGGAGAGCCCGTGCCACAGTTTTTTAGGCTTCACCAAGTATGTCCCAAGTGTTCAACTCTGTTTTCAGAGATTTAGTAACTGCCACTCTGCATTCATCTGATTGCTTTATATCATGTTTATTATGTAACCACACTACCCACGAGCTACTTCCTTGCTTACTTTCTAGGCTTCAAGTTGAGAGTCCTGAAAGGAAAAGGCTGTCATTTAAAGCAGCCATAGACGGTGTTTGGTTTGACACAGCTAAGAAGACAGGCTGGAGAGAGCATCTGCTATGCCGATGCTCACAGCACACCGCGCTGACCTTCTGTAGCAACCAGAGCCAGGAAATCCTTGGTGACTGCAGCTTCTGTTGTGAAATGCAGACTTTGGTAAGTTGGAGGAACACAGGTGTAGTTGTGTGATACAGTCCTAGGCTGAAACGTGTGGCTGTGGTTCTAGACTGTTCACATTGTCAGCCCTGGTCATTACATGTTAAATGTGATATAAATGGTTTGCTCTGATGGGGCAGTTTAAAGCAAAACTACCACAGGTCAACTTTTAGGGTAACCAGAGCCCAATATCACCTCAACAGTA